GACAACACCGGTTAACTATTGACTGTTACAAATTAGAAATGAACGAGGTAAAGACAAAGACTGTAACAGTATTTTCAATTATTTATTAAGAGAGTCTACCCTCTTCATTATTTGCTTGCCTATATGCACAAACCTCAACTCGTAATCTGTCAGAGGCAGCAAACAGAAATCAACAAAAGTACTCAAGCGAGTTAATAAAACAGCTTTAAGAGACCAACAAATCCACAACACGGATATTCCTGTGAGAGGCTACCTAAGAGCCACATAGTACTGAGTGGCATTTATAGTGCAACGAGTTTTTTTCAGTGACAATTACAATTTAGTCAAACTTGGTCAAGCTACTATGCTTTAAGCCTAACGTTTTAATTTGTTTTTTGTTTTCCTCTCTCTAGCTCTGTAGGGTTTATTTTGCAAATTGAAATATCGCGAAAATTTGTATAAGCATACGTTACAGCTTTTCTGTTTTAAATTCGACAAATTAGCGACTAAAGAAGTTAAGTTTCAGTTTGCCAATTCTAGGCCTGAGAGCATAAACACAGAGGGCCTGGGATCAAAGTTTTGTTCTTTATATATTGTCACCATGGAAACAAGTAGTCTAACATCACTACCGCAATGCCGGCCTTAAATAAAAAAATTACTGAATAAACTAACATTTTGACAATTAGTAACCATCACAGGATACAGCACCAACTCATTCCGTTCTGTGCAACTTCTACTTTTGAGCACGCTAGACCAGACGCAGGCAGTTGCATTATAAGCTTATGTACTTAAACTCCGAGAGGAAATATAGCGGGTTTATTTGCCCGCTCATATTAACAACAGATACATGAGCAAGACTTAAAATAAAAAAATATGTGCAAAAATACAACAATGTATTAGTGAAGCCCCTGAACTTACTAAGTTGAAAAAGGAAAACACTTTGCACATAACGCTCCTTGTAAGGTTCGTAGCGTGACCTACTGATCAACAAAAATGTCACGCTAATATCACGCAACAACCACCTAACGCAAAGTGTACTTATTTCAAATGTTACAGAAAAAAAATTTTTTTTCGTGAAATTTCTCACTTTACATTTTGTTCGTAGCATGCTTAAAAATACCTGTTCATAAATTGTTTTCGCTTATTTTGCAAGGAGGACTTAAGGATAGGAATTGAAAAAAAGAAAAGAGGGAGGGTATGATGAAGTTCTTACAGTAAAAAACTTTTTCTAAATTTTGATATATCGATATGATCACATCGGAGCTCATGTCGTAAAATGTTGTCCCGCATTAATTTCACACTAACCCTGCGTAGGCGCTTACCATAGGTTTTTCAGATTATATGCCGCCAAATTATACCTTGAATTATCTGCAGACCATTACCTGCATTACGTATTACGCTACACTGCACTTTAGAGCAGTCTTCATTTGAGAGTCGAAAAGTAATTGGTTTCCATTACTATGCTGGCCAATGACCATTGCCTTAAAAAACTCGCGCCACATTTTCATCCAATCAGAAGTAAAGCCACAACTAATCGTGACGCGTTTGCGCTCGTTTTCCCGCGCTTTGCGTCAGCTACATGTAATAAGCTTGAGTTTTGATTGGTTCACTGAATTGTCCGCGTCCGTTGTAATTGGCTACATTGATTACTTTGGTTTTGGTTTACGACACTAAATTGAAAACTGCTCTAGGATGTACTCTAAATTGCACTTCGTGCAAAACTAGTGCCATAACCATGACAGCTAGCTAGCCACTTAGCAGAAACTTACATTTCGCGTATCTCTCGGCATGACGCATCTTTCATTTGAACACGTTGGCTTCACATACAGGGTTCGTGCACATTTCTATACGAAAATTCAAGACGTTTTCCATACTTTTTCCAAACCTTTATGTTA